TCCACCCCAGTCCAACTCGGATCGACATGCATTCCGCAAGGCCCAGCACCGTGGACCCGACTTCATGTGAGGGCACGTCATGAAGGACATATATCCAACGCTGTCTCCGCCCCCGGAAACCATTGTGTCCCGATATGCGTGACGTACGACCATACTTCTTCATCCCACGACCAAGCGTCAAGAAGGCTACTGCCGCCAGCGTTCGCTAGCCACATCACACGAGTGACATAGCCAATATGGGCGCCCCCGGCAATATTTCCGGAGAGAGCAATGCGCTCATGGTGCAAGTGCCGTGCATGGTCTTCTTTGTGTTGACACCTATCTTCTTCACGGTGCGCATCTGGTCAAGACTCAAGCTGCGCTCAGGGTTTGGGTGGGATGACTGGACCATCTTGGTCTCGTTTGTAAGTGTTTTCTGAGATGATCAACGAAGCGGGCTAACAGAGGTAGATCTGCTGTATGACGGTTTCGGTGCTCATGATGGCCTCGGTTCATTACGGCTTTGGCCAGCACATCTTTAATATTGAGAAGAGCAATCGCATCATGGCAATGAAGGTACCTTCAGCTGTACTTGCCAACGTGTTCTCGTGCAAACATGGACTGACATCAACTGTAGCTGTTTTACGTTGCTCAAATCTTTTACAAACTCACAATCAACCTCACCAAATCTTCCATCCTGTTGCTCTACCTCCGCCTCTTCTCCCTTCACCGACCGTTCCGCATCACCTGCATCGCCCTCCTGACGGTCATCCTCCTCTATTGCATCGCCACCACAGCGTCCTCCATCTTCCAGTGCACGCCCATCCCGCGTGCCTGGAACCGCTCCATTCCGGGGACGTGCATTTCGTTGACGTACAACTGGTACGCCAATGCCATCTTCTCCATCTCAACAGACGTCGCCATCATCCTGCTGCCCCAGAGAGTCATCTGGAAGAGCCAGCTGCCCACCAGCCACAAGCGGGCCCTCATGGGCGTGTTCGGCCTCGGCGTATTCGTCACGGTAACGAGCATCCTGCGCATGACGACTCTTAACTTTTCCACCCGCAGCCCGGACCCCACATGTTCGTGGCCCCGTACCCCTTCAGTCCGCTCCGGCACACGCGACGAGTTGCTAACACGTTGTGAAACTATAGATGACATAGCTTCTACGCTGTGGACGATGATTGAGATTCACGTGGCCATCATCTGCGCGTGCCTGCCCATGTGTCGCCTGCCCCTCGCCTACCTCTTCCCCTCCATCCTCGGCACAACGGCCAAGACGTCACCGTCCAACGCGACATCCGCGTCCGAACAGCCCCAGGGCGCGCCAGACGTTCCGCTCGAGCCGCTGCCCACGCGCGGCGGCGACGTCGAAAAGGGCGAAGGCAACCCCGCGGCGTTCGTGCGCGCCACGCGCGGCGACAGCGAGGAGTATATCCTGCGGCCGCTGACGGGTCAGGGCAGAGGCGAGGATGAGGAGGAGCATAGGGAAGGGGGGCCGGAGAGTGGTATCCAGAAGACCATGTGGTTCGAGATGAGATCGGAGAGGAGTACGGTCGCACCTGGGCAGGCGATGTAGGGGCATAGAACTAGAGGAGAAGGAGGAGGAGGAGGAGGACGTGATGTGGTGTTTGTATATGAGCCTTGATACCTTGTAGAGATGATTTCTTTCATCCGAAATACTTTGGAGTATTACGGTTCTTGGTGTAGCGTTCTTTTGAACATCCGTCACCAACCGACAGCGTCGAGTTGGCCAGAGGCAACATTTTGAGTGCACAGTTAGTGTGTCATGATTCAAAATGAACTAATTCTCTTTTGGAGATCATGATCAAGCCACATTCAAAGAAGCTTCGCTGAACGAGTTGCTCCAGCTGCGGTCGCTGGTTTGTGCTGCACGCTTGTTCAACATGTCTAATGTTGACTGGCATCGTAGTAGGCTAGGCTGTATGCAAGGATGTGCACTGATATCGATCGGATACTCAACGTTCTCATCCATTCTGCCAAACAAAGCCCATGGATCATCAACACCAGCAACCGATGATATGGAGTACCGTAGATATAATGAAGCCAGCTTGTAATTGGTGCGATAAACTTAGTGGGGTCATTTTGGTCATGTGAGCAGTACCCCAGGTCACGTGGGTCCTCCGAGGTGTCGCCTGTTCTCGAGTGGTCTCGCCGACGACATGGAGACGAAGCTGAGTCACGTCAGGTGATCACGCCAACCAACCACTTCACGATACCGAAGCTGCTGGAGTGGACTAGACCGTCGCTGCAACCCGGGAAGCGAAAGATGATTCTCGAGATATCTGGAATTCGTTTGCTAAGCATACAGCAATTGCATCCAAGCGACAAGCGATGCAAAATCTGACTGCGGACTACTGACTTTAGAAACCTACCCACCTCACCTTGATCGTTGTGGTCGGACAATTACCCTTCCACTCTGAAATGTAGCAACCTCAGGTACTTAAGCAGCTTCTCGGCTGCTGGGGATGGCATGTTCATGCTCCTTGCTCGAGCGGACAAGTGTCCAAGGCAGATTGCAATGACGGAAGAAGTCGCGATTGGGACAGCCTCGCCCCCAGTATCACCCGGCATTTGGGAAGGCAAGACCAGCCAGTATGAATGGAACATAACTTATTGATTCAGTATCTTTGACATTCACTGGATTTGAAATCGAACTTCCTCCTCAGAATCCTCGCGGTCAACGCTCTGGCCTGGAGTCAATTCCAAACCATTCGTACCACATCATACGCTTTTGGTATTTAGGTCTTCACTTCTGGTAACCCGAAGCTACGAGCATTGTTTTTAAACTTCTGCAACATACCTGGCTCAACACATCTGTCACTTCTGCGCAGCCGCAGTCATATTCAGCCTGCGGTTTCAGGACATCGGGTTCGCTTTTCCATCGCTTCAGCAGCTTCATACAAATTGTGCCTCCTCGACCAGACTTTCTTTGCGCGCGAAGCAATGGCGGAGCTACCGAGCGTCACCGACATTGCCATCTTTGACCTTTTTAACACCCCTGAAGAGGCTACAAATCACCACAACGCCATGAATTATTACAGTGTCTGGCGCCAACTCCTCAAAGGCCACGAGGAGAACGACCTCAAGACGTTGCCGTACGAGGACCGTGTGTTCACCGACACCCGAGCTTACCGAGTGAACCGTAACAACGTACGTGCTGGAATTGAGCGTCTCGTGGAGCACAGATCCGCCGCCATTGCACGCCAGAAGAGGCAGGCTGCTGCTGCCGTCAAGATTCGAGATGACATTCTGGAGAAGCTCAGTACGCAGCCTGTCGGAACGACAGGATTCGACTGGGCAGATGATAGAAAGAGGCCGTGACGATGCGAGAGAACGATGTCGAAGGCTGGGAAGATAGGTTCGCCTGCAACATGGAGGTCGGTGAGCCGGTGGAGTTTGAGAATCTCTTTGTGCCCGATGCGTCGCCGTCGGGGTGGGTCACAACCGAGGACGGCTGGCAGATGGAGCTCGATGAGGACGCCAACAAGATTCACGAGATTGAAAAGACAAACGAGGTCATCTTTGCGGCATACCACACCGGCAGCGACAGCAGCAACACGGCGGCAGAAGAGATTCGTGAGAAGCACGATCCTGAGCTTGGTGACATTGAGTATGAAAACACATTTGAAAGTCACCATAGCAAAGATTCGGAAGACGATGGCGAGGACGAGGAGGAAGAGGTGACATCTGATGAGGACCTCAACATGGAGAGAACTCCCTCTACAGGTGAGCCCTCCAGCACAGAAACAACAATCGAGATCCAGGATCTTGTAAGCTCGGTAAAGAAAGGATGCGTCGAATTGCCTCTTGACGCCAATGGTCAAATCTCGCTTCACTATGACGGAGCATCAGCCCGCTGTCCATCCGATCCCCACCAAGCAGCTGAACAAGGTTCACTAAAGGAGCAAGCTGGTAAGTTACCATCTATTGAGACCGGCCCCCCTGAACTCAACTCTAACATTTGCGCAGACATGAGAGCTATGAACCCGCCGAAATTTGTTCAGGCAGTTCTCGAGATGGCTCGCTCTGAGCTTGAAGATACCGACGAGTTCAAGAAGCACTTCCACCTTCCCCTCTGCGACAAGCGCTGGGTACGCCGCGCCGTGAAGAACCACGCCGAAGAGGTGGAACGAGCTGAGCACCTGGTGAGCACAGCGTATTGCGTCAACGGCATGATTCGAGGAAGAGACATGAAGGAAACACCGTTGAACCAGGTCATCCTCATGGAAGAATGGATGGCTGATGACGAGGTTGGCTCTAGGACCGCTTAGCTGTCGAGAAAGGAGCAGCAGATCATGGACGTGTTGGAAGGAAGAGGGGCTGTTTGGTGAAGAACTCATGACTAAGAGTTAGCCGAGCTGGGCGGGTTCCGTTTTTCTTACTGCTAGCGATGCATCAGGAGGATTGATACCCCAGAATAGCACTATGAGGTTGGTATTGCAGGATGAGGGACCCTTGGAAGAGTACGAAAAGACTACAGGCATATCGATAAACCGGGTTATTGAAGCTGATAGAATATCGTCAATGACACTGATATGCCTGAAAATCTCCTGTGAAAGTGGCAAGGCACCTTGCCACAGCATGTCTTATCACAGCTGAAGTGCACCAATATCTTCTGCCTACCGCGTTGTCCCGAGCCTCCACGACTGTACGTGCATGTCCCGTTGCGCACGAAGCTGCTGTGTACTGTCATCGAAAGATTCCTCATGACCTTGAACGAGAGGCCTGCCAAGAAAACGTGGCTGCGAATGAATATACTTTTCACAGGTGATCAGTTTGCCAAGTCACTGGCGTACCATGTGTAAGAAAGACAGGCACATCGTCGTGATACGTTGTGAGAGACAGTGTCTTTCCCGGTATCAACTCCGGGAAAAAGGAGGGGAAGGCCGTCAGCCGACGAGAACCAAGGAGAGCGACAAAAGTGCCGACGTCTGATGATCGGACGCAAACAAGCGGTCCTGATATTGCTTGCCTTGTTTCAGAGGTGTTGAACCAATTGCCTCCGACTGCGAGAACCGTACTGCGTCCTCCATCGTGCAGAGGCTTGCCAAGTATCTCTCTACGATAGCCAGGCTCTCAGGCCGCACAGCTTCCTCGCCAAGCGTCGTACCACCTCGTGTCCTCTGTCTGGTTCGAACGCCCCTTCGAGCGAGAGATGCAAGCAGCCGGGTCTAGCCATGCTATTGTACAGACTCGATCGACTTCTTGGGGCCCGATGCTGTACTTGGGGAGCTGCCAGGGGTCTAACTGCGAGGAGCCGTTGACATGGGTACAGACAGTCGTTTGGATATGTGGTCTCGGGGTTGATCTTGGCAACCTTTCTTTAGAACGATGATTGTGCTTCTGGAAATCTGAGGGGCATATCTAGATGAAAGTGTTATGCTCCAATAGACAAAACATGGCGTCTGTGAGAAAATGTAAGTCGAGGAGCACCGAACCAAACTGCCATGATGCGTTCGAAAAGGACCCCGACGAGGAATTTGTCCAACACCGGCCAGTGCCCACCTCGCGAATCGAATTTGAGTGCTCCACGTGAAATCGAGAGACGGGAATCTCTTAAATCATCAGTGCCAACAGACTTCGGGACGGCCAACGCCCACTGCCTGGGTGTTTACCAGGGATGTGCTGTGGAGGAAGGAACGGGGCAAAGTGGGATTAGTACTTGCCGTACGCGCCAACTGCAGGGCAAGAGGCAGGAACGATCCAATGCCAAGCAAGTATCGTAGGACAAGCAAGAGCCAGAATCAGAAGAGGCAGCAATCGGGTTGAGCGCCTGATGTTGTGACCCCTCGATCGGACCAAACTCAGCATGCGCTGGATGCCGTCCGTTTTCTTTCCCCTTGTCACGAACCTGGGCCACAACGCGACATATTCTACAGAGACACAAAAATAGGCACTTTATTCCAACCCGTTCTCATCTGATACGGACTGCCACGAGCATACTCACTTCTCAAGAGGCAATCGCCGAACGAATTGTCGCAGCGTCCCGATCATCATCGCTACCACCATGTCGACAACGGAACGCATTGCCTACGGCGCAGATGCTCCCAAGAGTGACAAAAGTAGCAGTAGTGATGCTGCTGCCGTTCCCCCTCCGACCCATGGCGAGGTGAATCCCAAGTCTAGCCGCGAGGCGGATCGAAACAGGCACCTCGATCAGTCTCTAGCCGGAATCCTCGTCACAGAAGACGCAGTCGCTGCCACTGCCGAAATCCTCCGAAAATCACTTGTCCGCAAGTACGACATCCGTTTGATGCCCGTTTGTTTTACTACTTTCCTTTTCTTTTTCCTCGACAAAGCCAACATCGCCCTTGCTCGGATCAATGGCTTTGAAGAGGATCTCGGGTTAACATCGATCCAATTCAACGTAGCCCTGATGCTGTTCTTCATTCTGAACATCCTTTTCAACATCCCTGGCAATCTCGCTCTACGGCGTGTCGGAGGCGGCAACTGGCTGCCTCTGCTAATTGTCTCCTGGGGAATCGTCACCACCCTTACCGGCTTTGTGACCAACTTCGCCGGCCTGTGCGTCGCCCGCGTCTTCCTGGGCCTCACCGAAAGCAGCTTCATGGGCGGTGTTCTTATATACCTGGGCTTCTTCTACACTCCTGACGAGCTGATCTCACGGGTCGGCATCTTCTACTCGAGCGCCCCTCTCGCTGGTTCGGTTGGTGGCCTCCTCGCTGGCGGGCTCGGTCGCGTAAGAGTCAGCGGCTACAACGGCTGGCCGTGGATTTTCTTCGTCGAAGGCGCCCTCACCGTGATCCTCGGTATCGTCGCCTACTGCTTCCTTCCAAATACGCCCCGCGACACCAGGTTCCTCTCCGATCGGGAACGTACCCTTGCCTTGCGTCGTATGCACAGCCAGGACCACCAATACTACTCGAACGTGTCCGTTGCCGACGATGTTGACTTCCGATCGACAGTCAACCCTGATGAGAAGCCAGCAAAAGACCGTCTGCAATTCAAGACCGTCAAGCGCGCCATCTTCAACTTCATGACCCTAATCATGAGCATCGGAGCCTTCTTCTCTATCGAAGCCATTTACTCATACGCCCTATTCCTTCCGACAATTGTCCAAACTATGGGCTTCAAATCGCTTCAAGCCAGTCTCATGACAGTGCCCCCCAACTTTATCGGCTTCCTCTTCACCCTGGGCATATGCTATTGGAGCCGCCGCATAAGACGTACCGCACTTCCTCTGAACGTGTGCTGCATCCTTGGTATCATTGGCTTCATTCTGCTGCTCGTGGGTGGGCAGACGGACTCCGGACTGATGAAGGAA